CCCCCGGCAGGTTTGCAGCGGGCGCTGCGGCGCGGAGCGGAGCGGAGCGCGCTGCCGTGACGTGGGCTCGTCCGGCTCCGCTCGCCAAGTGCCGGGACCCGCTGCCCAACCAGCTAGAATCCTGCTTCGGGGAGAGACGCTCCGCACAGCTCGGCCTCCCCACCGCATCCTCCCCAAAAACTCTTTTTTTTTTTTTTTTTTTTTTCCCTAACGTATTTTTCTGACCGGCAAGAAGAACAAGGCACAAAGACCATCATCAAACTCCCCAGCAGCCCTCCCCTCCCCCTCCCTTCCTTACCTCCTTCCCCACTCCCTCCTTTTTGTATCTATCTCTACTATAGAGAAAATTCAGCGCCTGGGAATATTCTCCGCACACACACCTTTAAATAAATCGCTGTTTTTCCCAAGCTCACACCACCCCGACCCCYTCCAGCTGCCCCTGCCCTCAAAGGCGGCCTGGGGGTGTATTTAAAGCAAATTCTATCCATATTTGCTCTCAAAAAGGCGGAGGCCTTGGCGGGGGTAAGGCGAGGAGGAGACCCTCCCTGGTCCAACCTGGACTCGACTAAGCAGGATAACCTGGTAAAATAATAATAATAATAATAATAATAATAATAATAATAATAATAATAATAATAATAATAATAATAATAATAATAATAATAATAATAATAATAATAATGTCTGGAGATGAAACACGGCGGAAAGGGAATGAAGTGGGGTGAACGTTGGCCCTGCTGTGAGTGTATGTTGGTGGCTCTTGTCCCCGTTGCTGTGGCGGCAAGGGGACAAGAGACCCGTTCCCCTCTGCTCCAGACTTGTTCCCTCCTCTTCCTCACTCCCTCGCTCCGCTTCTTGCCGGCCCCAGGCTGCACCCTCGCCGCTCGCCCCCTTCCCCGGCTACAGCAAAGATATACAAAGCGCCGAGCTCCAGCTATATTCAAATAATCAACCCGTCAGCGAGGAACGGGCATGTGGGTTTATCTGCATCTTCCTCCTCTCCCTCTCTCTCTCGTTTTTTAATGTATTATTTTGAGGGTAAAGTTGAATAGGTCAGCGCAGGGTAAACAGCCTCCCTGTCGCATTCTGCAGCCTGAAGAGAACCAGATTGGCGAGGCGGATTTTTGATAAGACTTGGAATAAATGGCATGGTTTAGATCTATCCTGCTCGCCCCCCTCCTCTTTCCCCTACGCTCTTCTTGCCCCCCCCACCCTTGCCTCGGGCCCTTCTCCGTTTTCTGCCTCTCGCTCCTTTCTTTCGCGTTTCACGAAAGTTTCAGCAAACCCCAGTGTTACTCAGAGCTCCGGCAGGGCAGAGCCCTGGCGCGATAACGATGGAGACCTCTCAAAGTCGGAGGTGAGGAGAAAAAAACCCGGGCTGAAATGTCTGCGTGGGTGACGGTCTATATTTCTGAGGAGATGGGGGAGACTTTGTGGGCGTAATTTGCCATCTCCTAATCGCCCCCGTCCATGTGYACGCCAGTGCAACAGCAGCGACTGGAGAAGAAACAGGGACCAGCCAACGGTTGCAAATAATAATAATAAAATAGCTGCACTTGTAACCACAGAGAATAAGCCAGCGAACGCTACTTAAACAAACAGAACAAAGCTCGCCCCATATTTCATTATTTTTTTTTTCCGAAGGAAGTGAGACGTGGAGCCCTTCCAAGCACAAATAAGCGAGCGAGAGGAGCCCCGCGCGTTTCTGCCCCGCCGACAACGCGGGCGCTGCCGGCAGCAGCCCGGGCCCCGGCCCAGTGCAAGGGGCACGMGGGGCGGCTGCGAGCCCCTAGCCATCGCGGGGCTGCTGCTTTGCGAGGGGCAAGCAGAGCAAAAATTATAAAATAAATAAATAAATAAAATTTAAAAAAAGAATAAATAGCCGATGAGGAGAGGGGAAAAAAAAAGGAAAAAGAAATAAAGAAAAAGAAATTGGGAGCTCACCCTTGCCTCGAATTTTCTCCCCGAAAGAGCCCAACCGAGGAAAGAGAAACGCCGGATTCTCCGCAGCGCTAAAACCCCTACCACAAACCGCACGTGTGCGCGGAGGGAAGACTCGCCGTGCTCTTATTCGGCTGGCCCCAGAGGAGATATTTAAAGCACAAATCAAATAATGATAATAATAATAATWATTATTATTATTATAGATGAAAAC